ACCTTAGTGACCAGGTAGCCGGGCTCTGCGGAGCGGGGCGCCAGCTCCACGCCTGTGGAACCGTCGGTGGGGAAGGCGGGGTACAGGATTTCGGGCGCATTGTCGTTCTGGTCCAGCACAAATATGCTCAATGACACATTGCTGCTGAGTGGAGGGTTCCCACTGTCACTGGCTGTCACCAATAGCTGTAGGTCTCTAACCTGCTCATAGTCAAAGGAACGGAGCGCATACAGGACACCGGTGTCAGAATTGATGGAGACATAGGTGGAGAGAGGCGCTCCCTGGATAGTATCCTCAGTCAGTGCATAAGTGATGTGGGCATTGTGGATGCTGTCAGGATCCTGGGCGGTCACACAGAAAATGGAAGCTCCCCTGGGGTTGTTTTCAGGAATGTAGGCAGAGTAGGAGGACTGACTGAAGGCAGGCGGGTTGTCATTGATGTCTGCAACACGCAGAGTGATATGAGTACTTGTGGACAGTGGGGGATTTCCTCCATCTGTGGCTCTGAGAGTGATGTTATATTCAGACACCTGTTCACGGTCTAGAGATCTGGCTGTCACTAAGCGGTAATATTGGTCTATTGATTTTTCTAAATTAAATGGCATATTTCCCAGGACAAAAACTGTGACTTGCCCATTTTGCCCAGAATCCCGGTCGTGTACATTGATAAGGGCAATTTCTCTTCCAGCAGTAGCCTCTTCTGGGACTGATCCAGTAAGAGAAGTGATAATAATTTCTGGGGCGTTGTCATTCACATCCAGAACTGTGACTAATATCTTAGCTCTTGAAAGGAGACCAGGTCCATCTTGTGCTTCAATTTTAATTTCATAGAATGTAGCATCCTCATAATCTAGACTTTTTAAAATTGATATATCTCCAGTCACTGAATTGAGATCAAACATCTGAGCGACGCTCCCAGGCATTTTATCTAGAATATAGGACACTTGAGCATTGAATCCTTCGTCAGGGTCAGTGGCATTCACTGTGAGCAGCGTGGTACCCACTGGCAAGTTCTCCGGAACACTTACTTGATATTCAGGTTGAGTAAATACTGGTGGGTTGTCATTTGCATCCAGAACTACCACTTGGATGCATAAGTTGCCAGAGAGGACAGGGTTTCCACCATCAGAAGCAATGAGGACAAGCTGGTGAACTTTCTTTTGCTCACGGTCCAGAGCCCTCTCCAGCACCAGCTCTGGGTACTTGGCCCCATCAGAGACATGCTTCACAGCCAGGGAAAAGTAGTCATTGGGGCTGAGGTGGTAGTTCTGAAGGGAGTTCATGCCCACATCTGGGTCAAATGCAGTCTTAAGTGGAAATCGAGTTCCAGGAGCCGTTAGTTCACCAATTTTTATTAACAATTCCTCTGTTAGAAAATCAGGAGCATTATCATTAATGTCTTTAATTTCTATTTCTACTTCAAAAATTTTCAATTTGTCTTCAACCAGGATGTTAAATTTTACCAGACACAGTGCGCTCTGAGCGCAGAGCTCCTCCCGGTCTATCCTGCCTGCCGTGACCAAGCTGCCGCTTTGCAGGTTCAAAGCAAAGAGCTGCGTCCTACCTCTGGAGACGATGCGGACTCCATGCTCCGCCAGCTCCCAGGGCTCGAGTTCCAGGTTCTTGGAGATGTTGCCCACAAAGGAGCCTTTGTCCAGCTCCTCCTGCACTGAATAGTGGATCTGCCCGGATCCAGTCTTGCACAGCGTCCCCAGAAGCATGCACAGCAGGGTCAGTCCTCTGCGGTGTTTGAATCTCAGATATTTTGTCATTTCCTCTTTGGTGAATTATTTTCTGTGAATTCGGTTCCAAGTGCCCACGACGGACTCAAATCTTATTTTTTCTCAAGGAACTAAGGCTTTTATGGTCCTAATTTATATGTCACAGAGCTGGTTGACTGACAAACTGAGCTTTGTAGCAGCCTCGGATCTTCTGGAATCTGACTGACTGGTTCTTTGCTTTTTAGGAACAAGGAAATGGTGGACCAGCGCTCAAGCTCCGTTTTCCTCCTTGAATGGTCAACAGCGACACTCAGAGGCCTAACGGTTTACTGCACCCTCTCAGACAAACCCAAGTTAGTAATTTTTAAGTTTCCCAACACCTGAAATCATCTTTATCAGAGGTAATGGGACTGGTGTTTATTTCCCACAGCTGAATTGCTATATGTTAAAGTATGTAACTTCAACTTCCTTGGGAAGCCATGCTCTAACCTTAACACCACTAATATTGCTTTAAATATGCTGGAGTTACTGTTTTGAAATGTTCAAAATTTAAAAACCACAAAAAAAAAATCAGCCATATTTATAATTATATTTATCAAAGTTTGTCCTTGATAGCCTGACATCTTAGTTTCAATATTTTAATTTAACCCATTCATTAAAAATATAATTGGATGTTAGACGATATGTGGGGATTTAAGGTAAATGATATGAACATAACCACTCCCTCGCCCCAAAGCTATGAAGATACAATCAAACAAGGAATTCCAGTGCATTGAGAAAGCTACCAAAATGGGCGAAGCCAAAGGTGATGGGAGGGCCTCCAACCTGGCCTTGGAGGTTAGCAAAGGCTCTCCCAAGAAACATGACAGGAGTGAATCAGGGAAAAGGCCTGGATGTGAAAGAGAATGGTATGGCAATGTCTAGATGTGAGAGAGAAACCAAAGAACTTCAGGGTACTGGAAGTAGTTCACTCTGCCTAAATCTAGAGTGAGGGTGTTTTTTAAAGACCCAAACTGAAACTAGTAGAGATAAACTTTTGTTTTGTGTTCCAGAAATGCTTTCTCTGTATTTGTTTTTCTCTCCAAGCACAGAAATAGAAATATATTTGTCATTTCAAGCATGTACTGTTATAAACTTATCCATAAGGCATTTATTCTTATGAAGAGATAGTATAAACACTCTAAGGAACTCTGTCTTTAATTTTTCTCAGTTTATACTTTATTTATTACCTAGAAGTAAAGATGTTATGATGTATTATTCCACAATAAGTTTCAGTTTTATCTCCTAGAGAATTATGTAATAATTATGTAATAAAACACAAGAGACACATTGGCTTAGATCAGCGCTCCTCAAATGCCCTTAAGTATAATAAAAAATCACAGCACCTTGAAAGATGATAATACCATTAAACATAAGACTCGGTTAGTATATGATTACTTCCAAATCAAAATTTAAAATGATCCCAGTTATATAGAATATTAGTGTAGTCTTTGTTCTTCATTATTAAAAACATAACGAACATACTAAAAGCCAACTTGAAAAAAGGAATAAGGAAGGAAGACAGTGGTTGTGAGGGAGACTAAGGTTAGGTGAGGGACTGGAAATATTTTTAACACTGCTATGGTTAGGAATATTTGAGAGGAGAAATGTATAAGGAGCATTTTTAGGGACAATTATTTGATATGGTCTCTGAATCCCTTGAGGATATATATTATTTTTAATGTTTGGAAGTACATGTGGTTTCCAGATATGAAAAAATAAAAACATCAAAGAGAAACATATTTACTATTACACTATCCATTTATTATAGAGCAAACAATAATTCAATCACTTTGAAGTAGTAGCTGTTAAGCAACAACTACTTTAGAAGTCATTAGGATTTTTAGCTAAGCTGAGATACGAAGACATACCTTCCTAAAACACAGTGAAGCATATTTATTTCTAAATTTCCATTTTTTAAATAGGGAAGGTCATACAAATCAAATAAAATGAAGAACCTCACTGCCAAACTGAAGGAAAAATATTAAAATTGAGTGAGAAGAAACTAAAGTGTTTCATTACTCACAGATTAAAATATAAAACAAAAACCATGAATTTTAAAGCATTTGAGTAAACATAAAATTCAACTTTCATTTTTAAAAAATATCTTTTTATTTTATTTTTTAAAAAGTAAACTCTACCCCCAACATAGGGCTCAAACTCATGACCCGCCAAGATCAAGACTCCCATGGTTCACTGACTGAGCCAGCCAGGGGCCCCTCAACCTTTGTATTTTTAAGACAGAAAGAATTACTGACCCAGGTAGATGAGATGATTTCTCCAGGGATGGGAAAGAAAGTATGAGAAACCAGATATACCAGTTCCCAATGGAATGTTCTTTGATGACCTAAATAATATTTACCCGATACTAACTCCTGATTTATACTCATGATACAATGATTCTAGCCCCTCTTCCCCTTACAGGGTGTGAACACTTAGAACTATTGAGAAATAGTTCACCAGGACTCATTTCCTAAGAATTGATATATTCACAAGGAAATATGAGAAATAGAAAAGATGTGGTAAACAATGGAGGCAGCTAAGTAAATAAATGTTTATTTTAGTAATAGCTACTAAGTATATTGTGAAGGGAATTTACCTGAGAAAATGTTTCTTCTTTATCTTCAAGTAAAGACTGCGGTGCTGATAGAAAATCCTTTTTCTCACAGCTCTCCTGGCTGATGAGCGTGTCCGCGTAGTTGGGCTGGGGGAAGATCACGTGACTCTTCCGCGAGTCCGCGGTCAGGGAGACC